AGGGACTGATGATCGAGACTGGTCCAGGGACTGATGATCGAGACTGGTCCAGGGACTGATGATCGAGACTGGTCCAGGGACTGATGATCGAGACTGGTCCAGGGACTGATGATCGAGACTGAGTATGCTGAGCTAGGGACTGAACAGGTTGATTCCGGGACTGATGATAAGAGACTGAGTAAGCTGATGTATGGACTGAGAGAAAACCGATAATGGGACTGAGAAAGCTGATCCAATGACTGCGGAGAGCGATTCAGGGACTGAGCACCTGGGACTGAGTAAACAGGTGAATCGTCTGCGGCTAGTGACTGACCGGTGGTTGGCGTAAATCCGGGTAATTAGTACTTGAACAGGCCGATCTAGAGGGCAACTCTCATCATCTTGTCTGGCTTGAGCAGAAACCAATGACTAGTCATCGGCCTGAATTGACCAGACAGTTATGGTCAGTGACTCGTGGCAGGATCACATTCACACCATGCTACCTTCTATAATTTCCCGGGAAAACGGCTTGACTACCTTGTGCTTACTGCTAGAACTTGACGCATACCGCAATAGATATTGTGCACAATAAAGATATAGATATAGAGATCGAGATAGAGATATATACATTGGGAAGCAGCAAGTCACAAGTGTGCCTCATATAATATCTATGTACGTACCTGCGTGCGCATGTGTATGTTTGTGTGTGTGCCAAGTTCACACGTGGCTTGCGGATTTAATATTCACACAGTGTCACACTCACCTTTAGGCAATTGTGTTTCTGCAGTTACAGTGTAATGCACTCTAATACAGCTGATTTTCATGGAAACATAATGCATCTGTTAGTTCCGTGTGTTTCTTGTTGAATCCAATGGTTTCCTAGAATCTGTAGTCAATAGGCGCGTTCACACACAAGAAAAACCGCGCTTCTCAGCTCACTAATATCGGAGCTAATAGTGAGCTAATTCTGTCGTTGTTCACACAGGCGGAAATAGCTCGCTAATCGCCGCGGTGCAAATATCACGCCGCGGTGCAAATAAGCTGAGCCTGATTCCAAATTAGCCCCAGTTCCGCAAGTCGTTTAGGAGCGGCTTTTCGGACCGCCGATTTTTTAGTGAACGCTAATAACTAGTGGCGTTCACCACTGTTAAAGATTCAGCTTTTTCTAGTGAGCCTACCAAAAAACCTGGTTTCGCCAGCTCACTAATTCGGCCAGTGTGAACGCACCCTTAGCTAAGTACTAATGAAATTTACTATGAGTTCATCTAATTCTGTAGTGAGATAATAATGGTATTTGTTGTCTACGTTTAGCATGTACCTGCATTGTTTGCAACCTTGAGACTTGTGATCACATAACAAAATCAATTTATTAATAAAAAGTCGTTTTCCAATAATAAAAACGTACTAAAAACGGACATATTTTTACTAGTCGCAGAGTTGCAAACATAATGTAGTAACACATAACGAACACGCGTTGCATAGTTACAAACACATTATTTGAAATAAAAATTTTACAGAAATATTTTCTGACGTTCTATCGCTAACTAGCGCATGTTCACAATGTCTAAAATGTCATATAATTTTACAATCCATATTAGGTAACAAATAACACTGCTGTCACGTTGATATTGTTTACATGAAAACATTTACATCGTATGACGTAGTACACTACGCAAAGTAGCAGATAACTGTCACCCCAGCCCCCCCACATGATCACCTACCGACTCACAGTGACACATGCACACGCACGGACGCGCACACAAGCACGAACGCACGCGCGCACACACACGCACGCCGTAACACGAAACGCCCACGCAATGCGCGCACATAACACACGAACTCGCGCGCGCGCGCGCACACAACACACGAACGCACGCATGCCGCGCACAACACACACACACACACACACACATTATATATAGTATATATATATATATTAATCAGGAGTTGAATTGTTTGAGTTAAAGACAAGACAAGGCAAGACAAGATCTTTATTAACTCCTGATATTATGTATATAACCCAATAACTTCGTCCATCTCTCTTACGCTCAATAAGAAGGCAGAGGAAGGCGGGTATGGACTACACCTACACGAGCAGACGCGAATTCCGAGTGCTTGTTCCACATATAGTTGTAGTTTCCTGTCTGTATCCAGAAACACCTGCCAGGCTTGGATGTGTGTTTTCTGGCTCTGTCCAGCACACGCCACAGGACGGATACAAGCACGTCAGCCCCTATCACCACCATCTCGGCAATAGTCAGGTATTTGCCCTCAAACCCGTCCGTAATTTATCATAAGCACATAAAGTTACGAGTGTATGTCGCCTGTAATGTGTCGCGCTAATAGAACATGATGATGCTGGTTGTGTACGTGTGTGTGTGTGTGTGTGTGTGTGGTAGGTTGTTGATTATGCGTGTGAGTGCTCTGCGTAGCTGCGGCGTGCATGTGTGTCTGTGTGTGTTGTGGTCACAATCGCGTGTTCTTCATGTCGCCTGGATGTTGTGCCGTGTTGGTGTCGTGGTGTGTGTGTCGTGTGGCCTTCCTTAGTGTGTGTACGTGCGTGCGTGTGTGTACGTGCGTGCGTGTGTGTTGTGCGTGCGTGCGTGCGTGCGTGCGTGCGTGTGTGTGTGTGTGTGCGCGCGCGCGCGGCGTGGTGTGTGGGGTGTGTGTGTGTGTGTCTGTGTTAGGTGTGTGTGTGTGTGTGTGAGTTGGTGGAGGACGGTGGGTGTTTGAGTGCGTATAACGTGTGCATGTGCGTGTGCATGCGCATGTGTGCACGTTAACGCGCACGAGCCTGTGCTTCTGTTACGTGTTTGTGCGGGCGCGTCTTGGGGGAGCACAGTGCAGTGTGTTATTCCGCTTTATCTATAGCCTATAGCAGGGGCGGATCCAGAGGGTTTGGGTGACCAGTTTCCATAGTTCTAGTCACAGCTAGGTGGGTCCGGGGCATGCCCCCCGGGAATTTTTAAAAAATTAGGCTATATTTGGTGCATTCTGGTGAATTTTGAGGGTCAATTCTGAAGATACCCAGCCTGTGACCGGTTTTTGGAAACCGGTGCAAACCGGCCTAAATCCGCGCCTGTATAGGGTTCTATAAACTGCGTTGGAGTTTTTGATTACGCGGATGGTGAATGTTTCCGTAGGCTGTACGTCTAGATAAACACCTCGTTATTCTTAAACATCGCCCACTGCTCTTCAACACCTCATACGACTACAACGTTGGGTGTTCAACTGACTACAACGTAACTCTACACTAAGTTTCTCGCAAGTTGTACCTACGCACTGCTGAAGGCATTCTCTCTACGTCCGGATGGGTCATATTTGACGGACGCACGTGGTCCGCCCGCGGTGTTTCCGTGAAAGCAATATGACACAAATTACAATCGCAGTCAATCTCACGTGACGTCATACTATCCATATATGGAAGTCACGCGGTGATTCTGCCGTGTTTACGCCTAATGGGCGGGATCGGATTGCTAGCATATCCGCATCACGGGCGCGTGAATCTTGTTTGCATGGCTCTAGAATAGATCTAAAATATCATATCAACTTGTAACGGTGGATCATATATACAACGTGTTACATGCCCATCGCATATAACGGCTGATAACAATACAACTTGTTATAAGATGGCGTCTGCAGCCGTTGATCACGAACAGGATAATATACGGCTACGGATAGTCACGAACTAGCGAAACTGTTCCTCCGAGTGCCATCTATGTTGTTATTGACGTCCCCAATTACAGCCTATTGTTAAGAATATGTCTCTTGAAGAGCAGGTCCTAGTACATATATAGCTGATGCATTGAGAGACATGTACATGAGTGTGCGCGCGTGAGTACCGCCTTACTCCCATATAAGAATTCATGGAAGGTTGAAAATTCAACGTCGTTGGAATAACAATAATCAACATTCCCATCGCGATTTAAACGTCCTCCTGTATTAGTACAGCGATCAGGGTTGTTCAGGTAGTTCATGCGGAACGTAGAGTGCTGCGAACGTGCTCAGTATAAATATGATTCAGCGAATTCGCGCTGTTGCTACTGGCTTAGCTACCGCCCGCACAGTTTTACATCCTATTATGTGCTGCGAGCAGCGTATAACGTAGTAGGCTGTGTAGTGTGCGTCAGAAGAAGTATGTAGTGCGTGCGGAAAGGCAGTCAGTCATATTGAATAAGTGTGTAACTGTAATCTGTCGTAGCAAATTTATCATACGTGCGCGAGAAGGGAAGGACAATCGTTAAACATTCGTAGGAATCAGGCAGCAAAATCGTAAGTCTTACCACGATCTGGAAGTAGGCGCGCAGACAGGCGCGTAAACACACGCACACGCACATACACACCACACACACACGCACACGCACACGCACACGCACACGCACACGCACACACACACACACACACACGCGCGCGCGCGCACGCACGCACGGACGTACCCAAACACCACACACTCGCGCACAAAGAGGAATAAATACTACTACTACTACTACTGCTGCTGCTACTGCTACTGCTACTGCTACTGCTACCGCTACCGCTAC